AAATGTTTTGAGAAACGATGTACAAATGCGCTTTACACAATTGATGTGTGTATGGATTGGGATAACAGTTGTATGAGCCCCTAATAAAATGTTATTTAAAAAAAAAAAAAAAGAGATCAAATGACATGATGCATTGGGTAAATCTGCTGCACAAGACCTCTTTGAAAGGATGAAATGCAAGGATGTTACATTTAGGACTGAGGTGCACCTGACCCAAGCCATGGCATTTTCAATCGCCTCCTATGCATGTGAAAGTTGGACACTGAATAAGGAAGACCAAAGAAGAATCAATGCTTTTCAATTGCGGTGCTGGAGAAGAACACTGACAGTAGAACAAGTAACTGCCAAAAGAACAAATAAATCTGTCTTGGAAGAAGTACAACCAGAATGTTTCTTAGAGCCAAAAATGGTGAGAGTTTCTCTCTCATACTTTGGCCACGTTATCAGGAGAGGCCAGTCTTTGGAAAGGGGATCACACTTGGTAAGGTAGAGAGGCAGCAAGGAAGAGGAAAGCCCTCAACAGGACGGGCTCACACAGTGGCAGCAAGACTGCGCTCAAACATCGTAATGGTGGTGAGGGTTGTGCAGGACTGCGCAGTGTCTTCTTGTGTTGGACACAGGGTAGCTATGAGCCAGGACTGACCTGACAGCACCTGACAACAAGCTTAAAGTTTCTTTCCACCTTGTTTCAGAATTGAGTTCTTAAATGTTATTTATACCAGTTATTCTGGTTTATCCATCAATAGCTCAGCTACATTTCCGTGCTCAATAAATGCTGCTATAAAACACTTTTCAGCCCTGTCCCCAAATTCTACCTCCATTTAATAAAAAATGATAATGCATGGCCATTTTTCTAAGTTTTTAGTAGATCAAAAACAAAATTCTTATATATACAATCCTAAATCCACTGCAATTTTAAGAGATCAGCAATATTTTAAGAAACAAATAAAAGTCCAAGCCCAACACGTTCTTGAAGTTCATGGAATATATAATCCAGTGGGGCGGGAGGGGAGCTGAAATCACAAACATAAATGACAGACAAGAAAAGGAATAAAATGAATCTCTTTAACAACTAGATCCGTGCGATGTAACAATGATGAGAAATACAACTTTCCTCTAATTCCTCCCTGCCCCCACTACCATGACTCGAATTCGACCTTGTAAGTCTGGCTAGACCAGAGGATGTACACTGGTACAGATAGGAATTGAAAATACAGGGAATCCAGGGCGGATGAACCCTACAGGACCAGTGGTGTGAGTGGCGAAACAGGGAGGGTAAAGGGAGAGTGGGTAGGAAAGAGGGAACCGATTACAAGGAACTATATGTGACCTCCTCCCTGGGGGACAGACAA